AGAAATCAAGTTGATTTTTATTAACAGCAATCTTTAAACATAAATTAATGTTAATACTATAATTATATATACATACACTACCATTCCTAAATACAAAGTTTACTAAACCAAACCAGTGGTAATTAATCTATTTAATATTGACGTTCGTAGGCCAAAACATATTTAATTCAATATTTGTTGTAATATCTCAATTTCCAAATCAAACTAAATAGAATTTGAAAATCTAAGCAATTTTATCTATCCCAAAAGTCATTATTCAATCTTATTTCTACAGCACATAAATTGGTTAAAACATTACAAACAGCATTTTTTTCAATTGATAATACAAACAACATAATAATTTTAAAAACATATTGGCAGCAAATAATAAAGCTATACTATAGATTTCTAATTATCTCTTAATTTTGCATGTTGCCCTATTGTATCCCTTGTTTCCACAATTTTGGCACGTTTTTCTAGTATCTTTCTCTTGCACTTCATGTCTTTTAGTAATTTCTGAAGCTTGCAAGTGTTGCTTCTTTTTAGGATGTTGATCTTCAATTTCAGTACTACTTTTTGCTCTTCCAAGTAGTCGACCTCTTTGCTTGCTAATTACAGGATTCTTAATATCATATTTGACATCATCTGTAATTGTGTCTGATTCTTCTTTATTTTCTTGTTTGTCCAAAATAAATCTATAACAAATGCCTATCAATTCATTATATGAACTAGTTGAAATTGCTATATCAAGTGCTTTTCATATAACACCTTGTGCTCTACCATATATCTGATGTGTATTATTGATATTTCTTAATACTGGATTATAAACTTCAATGCTTCAAATTTGTTTTAGGTAATCAAATTCGTATACTGGATATTCAGTATCACTTTGATCTTGATTTTGGTTTAAATTTACACATATGGTAATTAAATATTGCTGCCAAATATTAGTCAATTGACTCGACAAAAATTTTCTTAATCGAGGATTGATTGAAAAATTTTTTTACTTGATCGATTAAAACTCGATTATATACCCCTGATTGAGTATAATCGATCAATTACAAAAATTATAAGCTCGAGTATATAAATATATTAATAATTAATTAATCATTATATCAATTATTGATTGAGCATATATAGAAGTAGCATTATGGCATTATAGCATTATTAGTATCTCATAACTAATTGGACAATGTATTAAATGCAACAAAATGTTTACAATATTACACTATGAGATTTATTTAACTATAATGAATATTTAATTTGAATTTTTTATTGCTTTAACATGTTTTTGTCTAAATTAAAGTGAGTAACAATCAAAGCCTTTTTTATTATTGTCCTTCGGAATTAAACTAACCAAATACAGATTTACTGTCAACTATTTTAAAATACATAGTCTTCAAAACTATTAAAGACTTATTCCGAAGCTAGTTTTAGCTGCAACTAAATAGGCTTTTTAAAGTTATAGCTCTAGATTAAGCTATAGTTATTGAAGCTATGACTTGTAGAGTATGACAAGCCAAGCTGTAGCAGGCAATACAGTCAGTAAATATTATTATGTAGCTACAGTAATAATAATTTTAAAGCAATATAGTATTTAAAAAAGCCATAAAGCATTAATATATCTAAAATCTTGAATAGGCTAAAATTGGTCTACAAAACTTTTTGTCATATAATGTTGGGGTTTTTACATAATATTTTTTTCTTATTTAATTACATAGACTGAAGCTCAATTTCTAATTTGTGAAAAGTAATTTAACTGGTAAGTAGGTTTATTATCTTAATAAAAAAAGTTTGAAACTATCTTTTTTGTCATAGACTTATTTTGGTTAGCTAAAATTTATTATTTGTATTTTGCAATATGAATCTTTAGCAAAATTATAGCAAGGATTATTTTAATTAATCGTAGCATATTATATATAATCTCAGTAGCTAGCTAATCACATTAAAGATATCATTAGTCTCTAAGTTTAGTGATTATTTATTTGTTTAATTGATCTAAGTATTTAATATTGGCTGTTTAACTCTCATTTAGCTTCTTATCTATATTAGTTTGTATAATTATTATTTGCTAAGAACATTTCTAATTATACAAATCAAAATGACCAGATTTATATTGCATGGAGTGTAAAATATTCCTATATTTAATATCTATTTCAGCATTATATATTATTAGAGTTAGCATTAGGAAATTTAAGTGGATTGATATAATATGTTTTTAAAGGGATATTTTATACTCTATTTTATATATATTTAAAAAATCTTATGAAATTTTTTATTTATTTAAATTAGTGTCTTATATCAATAGTTATGCTGTATTTAGTTGTATATCCAATATTTATCTGAATTTAAAACAATATATAATATTCTGTATTGGAGTTGTTTAATATTTTCTAAAGTAAGCTTATATTTATCTGTTCCTGGTTTAGCAACAATATTGCACAGCTACTTATTGAATAAATATAGATTTAAATAGATATTGTTAGAATAGCTCAATAAAATTTCTATTTTAGATAGTATTAAATATTTCTTTGAATGTAAATTTTACTATAACAAAACAAATAAACTTTATTTAATTAATAAAAAAGAATAAATAAAATGAATACAATTTTAGTTACAAAAGTTATAATATTTGCTATTTCTTTTAACAAAAAGAAGTTCATTAACTGTATTAGGTTTAAGTCTATTTCTTTCATTTGTTATTTGTTTACTTGCATTACTAAAAAGATGTTCACAAGGAACAGATGTTGAAGAAATTCCTAAATATTTCTGAGCTATTTTAAAAAGAATAGAAAACTTATTTTTATTCTCTTTCCATCAGTTAAATGGGTCAATATTACTATTAGCTTGTGGTGATTGAGTTTTATTAAGATAATAATCAATTTCATTTTCAGAAATAATATTATTTTCATTATCATTATCAAATAAATGTGATTTAAAATTATAGTTATAATTAGAGGTGTAGCGACTTAGTGTAGTGGTCTAGTCGTCACCCTCTCCAAGTGGCAGGTCTAGAGTTCAAATCCCACAGACGACGAATT